AAATAATTAGCAATTATTCCCGGGCCCTAATGGACTACGAGTCACCAGCCCATGAGCAGCATGAGGGCGAGAGGACTAGTTGTTTTAGTCAAATTCAACTACTTCATATTCTCTTGCCTAGTAGTAMCTYATCCAATCAGAACGCAGCATTGATGATAGACCACTAGCTGGATTTGACCAATGCATTTTAGCCTAGAATTTGCTATCGATTTTTCCGCACTTTTGTTAGGTCGTATATCAATAGCAATTTTCCTTCTTCTAGGACAATACTGTATTTACGAACGTGGAAAGCAACCAGGGGGAAGGATTCGAATGTATGATATGGACTATAGCTACCGGCATTCAACCAAATATGTTAAGGACTTTACTGACAACTGATATCATTCAATCGATTTACATTTTTCTTGTCAAATAAGGGGGACCAAAAAGATTCCAATCTCGTTACCCATAACCAAACCCTTTTATCTGCTGCCTTATGGGTCACGAGACTGTCAACAAGTCGAATGGATGGTAGCAACAACTGAATGGATCAAGTACCACACAGGAAATTATAAAGGATATGAATATCCTCAGCAGTATGGAACTGCAGTTCCGTTTTATGAAATTGGTGACATCAAGAATAAAGGGATCACCATGTATTACTGCTATTATGAAAGTAAGCAAGTGCTTATACTTATTTAAAAAACAGGCTGSTGAGTGTCAGTATATTACAGTAAATGTCTGTAGTAAATGCTTTCTGTTTTTCCAGAGATTTTTGAAAAGTTCTAGGGTTTTTTCCTTTATTTTTGTCCGGGTTTTAATGTAGTCGAAGCCTTTTTAACACTTACCTACTTCTCCCTGCCTATTCTTATCAGGATGCGCAAAMATATTGCATATTGCATATAACGTTTTCAGTAACCATAGAAATAGAGACCGATTTGGTTCATGGAGTGGACAAACCAACTCCTTCAATTCTGCTAAGCTGCAAATCATTGTTTCACCTTTTACAATAAAATTTCTTGATTTATCGGA